TACTTTCCTTACATACAAAGTCATGATTAAGCCACAGAAAATTAAGGGCCATTTCTACATTCTGCACATATCAAGACTTACTAAACGTGGCTTAAATTATAAGGGTCATGTATGTTGGTGTACCTTACTAAAAGCTTCACTTAGGATTACAACCAAAATTAAACAAATAAATTATAATTTTCTCATTAGAAGACTATTCATTCAATCAATTTTTTCCAAATCTATCTATAAAAAGAGGTAATTGTTTTCTAACTGAATATAACACCTCTGTATTCTATTTTCTTTATGAAACAAAACTTTTATTCTAAAAGGAAGTTTACTCTGAGCTCATTGCAAAACTATCTATTTCAGTCATATTCCAGATTTAGCAGGACAAAGGGCAATGGCAGGAAATGGAGCATCACCAAGGTCCAAAACAAACTTGGTTTAGAGTAAAAAAAAAACAAAAAAAAACTCACATCATTATTAGAATAATTAAACACTATGCTTTAAAGCAAAAATAAATATAGATTAAAAATTCAGACTTTCATAAGCATAGCTTCACTACTGATAAAAAGACAAAACAATATTGCCCTCTATTATTATACAATATAAAGACAAAATGGAAGTAATCATGATATACTCATGCTCACATATGTATTTTTTAAATACTAATTAAGATTACATTAAAAGATTATATTTTTGTATTTCTTACCCTTATGGTACATTTAAATACAATCAATTCAGTTTTTTCTCAACAACTTTGAGAAATAGCAAAATAGTTATTTTTTCCATTTGACAGATGAAAAAACTGAAAGATAAAGAAATTAGATAACCTGTTTTCAGGTCCTTATGATCAGAAGCAGATGTGGACTAATCTTGGCTCTAATTCTACAGCTTCACAAAATTTTTCAGTGTAAACTGAATTTCCAAAATAAATAAATAAACCAGCTAATCACAAACATGAACCATGAATTTCAACCCACATTGCCACATTTCAAAATGTCATGCTTTTTGAGTGCCTTTGTATCTTTTTACTGAGTTAATGCATTTGATACTTTCCACTAGACAGAACAAAAATAGCTTAATCTTATCAAAGAATTTGATAAGCCTCTCAAAGGCTCAGTTTCTCTTCTGCATATTACAGTGACCAACTGTAGCACTCCCAAAAGGCTAAATGTTGAACAGAAATATACCTTTATTCCTATCCAGGGAGAATAGTGAGAGGGACTGTATGATACATACTGTATATTGATTGCTCTATGCAATATATGAATTCCAAAAAGTTGTATAATGTAGAGACCAAAATTGTTCTCAGTACTGTCTCACTTACCAGAAGCACAGTAAGTGAAATGTAAAAAGATACAAGGAATAACAAGGTGCTTAACACAGATAATATAAACTCAAATCTTAAGACATTAAAAAAAAAATCAACTTGCCTTCTATATTTATGAAAAATATGCTCAGACAAGAAGTGGTAGTTAACTACTGAACTAAAATCCGGATGTAAGATTAAACCAGTTCAAATTAATGTTTAACTTATAAGAACTATATGAAATGTACTGTTAATGAACTCCTTGACCCTGGGTGGGGATGCCCGTTTAGAGGCAAGGAAAGAACAGACTACATAATTGGAATTAGCAGTCTCATACACTGGTGGAAGAATCTGTAGAGCAGGAATGTTACTTATCAGAAATTATCCTGCCTGTATTATGTAATGATAACTACATAAGGTTAACAAATAACCTACTAGAAGATGAATGTTTCTAACAATGCAATCAAATCCTATACCTAGCAGGAGAGAGTGAAAAATTAGACTTAAGTAGTTTGGTTAGAAAAACAAACTGCGAAGATATTTTTACCCAAATTCTACGCAAATACAGAGTTTAATATGTGGGGACCCATTTGCTAAAAGCCTAAACCAGTAATTTATTTTAATTCTACTTAAAGGACTTAATCACTAATATTTAGGCTCGCAATTGAACCCAGGCTAAGAGGTATAAAACATATTTATATATTCTCTTAGTATTCCTTGGACCAAACAGTATTTATTACCCAAGGGTTATTTCTGATCAAGTCCTATTTAAACACCTACTGAACTTTTACAATGCTCAATGCCGATTTTTAAAATATCACATTGCATAGAAACAGTATGATGGTGCCTTAATACTGACCTATTGCTAATACACGAGTACTATAAAACACCAGTGCCGAGGGCGGCCGGTTAGTGCGCAGGCTCATAACACCAAGGTTGCCGGTTCGATTCTTACATGGGCCAAGGAGCTACGCCCTCCACAACTAGACTGAAAACAATTACTTGACTTGGAGCTGATGGGTCCTGGAAAAACACACAGTTCTCCAATAAAATTTCTTAAAAAAAAAAAAAACACCAGTGCCGAGGTTAGCATTGTGGCAAATGAGGGCGTCTTAACCTTGATAACCTGAAGCCCACCTTCAAAAATCTTCAAAGGCATCATCTTTAATCAGGTATGTTTACAATATTTGGTATGGGTAGCATACCAACTAGGGTAGCAAAATAGTAGACCAGGTTTAAATTTTCATCATTAAAGAAGAACTTGCTACTTAAGAAAAATAACTGGTCACCCTGGAAGGATACTAGTGAATCAAGTCATTTCTAAAAACCAAGAGAAAATCAAACATTTATTCTGCCTGAGTTTCCTTTCAGGAACTGTCATCAAATAACCAATGAGGGGACATTTCTCTACATATGCTCAGCTAATAAATAAATGATAGAACTGGATATCACAGTTTTGCAAACTCCTAATGAACTATTAATGCATATAGGCAAAACTCATGATGACGAAGACATTCATAAATTATTCTAGCCTCCCCCACCAAACAAAAAGTGAATCAATCAAGCCTCTACATCTTCCAGTTTGCAGACACCAGTAGAGAGGAACAAATAATTTAAATCAAGGGAATTCAACCAGCAAAACTCAGACTGAGAAAAACTCTCATGTCAAAACCTGGCTTCTTCAACAAACAGAAGGAATAAAAAGTGTGGTGAGGAGGAACCTATAGATTAAAGACTTAACAGACATTTTCAACAAAACACAACGTGTATACTTTATTTAAATATTGAGTCAAACAGCGGGAAAATAAAAACATGATACTACCAGGAAACTTAGAACACTGACAAGATATTTGATGATTTAAGACTTATATTGTTACTATGTTTTTAAGAAGAGTTCTTATTTTATAGATGTATTTTTAAATATTTCTAGATAAGATCATATGTTGTCTGGGGTTTGCTTTAAAATAATTCAGGGGTAGGGCAGGCCGAGTGGCGCGTTGGTTAAGAACTGGCTTGGGATGCTAGGGGGACCCGGTTCGGATCCCACATATCTCGAGGGCCAGTGACACTGCCCGCTATAGCATTTTAAATAACAATTTTTTTGAAAACAGTTGAAAATTTTTAATCTTATTAAGTGTCCAAGTGATTTAAATCTTAATTTAGAGATAAAAATGGAACTTATCTTCCTGTCCAATAGGCTTCATAGTTTGATTGTGAAAGGCCTTCATTATTTACTTAGATTTTCATGAAGAATAAGGAACCACATGTATATTAAAAATCATTAAGAATAAAATTCTCTGTAGGCCAACGAACTATGCTATCTTTTCAATAAGCACAGTGTCACTTAAATAACACATGAACACGACTTAGAAACAACATAACTAATTAGTAACACAATGCAACCCCACTTATCTTTTGTCATTCAGAAAATAGTAAAACCTAGTAAGCTTGATGTATTTTTAAATAAGTCATTTTCAAGCTACTAGGCATTCCTACTAAAATGCATTTTAATTTTTGGCTAACATGTGTTACTATTTTCAAAAATGTCTGGTGAATTGGATTCCTTTTCTATTGGAAGAGTGGTCTATTTATAAAAGACATTTCTGGCATTAAATTACACAAGACTAAAAGCTATTTTAAAAATCCACATTAAACATTTCAAAGTATATGTCCTTCAGTAACTGTAAGAAATACCAAACCAGAAAGTCAAAGAAAATTCCAGCGTGATCACTAAAATTTAATATTACAGATAACTGAGATCATTTGTTAAAAGAATAACTTGTTCTTTAAAGAGCTGAAAGTATAAAAAAGGAGCCCAAAGGGATAATGCAGAAACAGAAGCTGAGACTTGAGAACTTCACCACACAGATCTAAAGTAACTTAAGTAGTAGATTAAAGTTGTTTCTCTGGCCCTTGCCAATATCTTCAAAGGAGTTAATGTGGCTCCTCACTTGAAAAAGGTGTTCTTAAGCAGTACCCTCCTCCTCCAATAACCTAAAATCCAAACTAACATGCAAAAATTCACACAAAGGCAAAGAGAGAAAATCATTCTTGAGTGACAAAACCAAAAATATTAGTCATAATAGATAAGACCATGGCTTGTATCAGTCAGTACTGAGTTCCAAACTCAGTTCTGCTACTCACCAGCCCCTTTAACCTCTGATCAGTTTTCTCATCAGTAAAAGGAGATAACTACAATACCCATCTCACAGGATTGTCGTGAGGATCAAATAAGACAATACTCTGAAGGTACTAACATCAGGGCAAGCTTAAGTAACCACCTCATATCAATAACCTTTTAATATAATCAAAAACTTTTATGCAATTTAAAATGTTAATTATGAGAAAAATGCTTAATGCCCTTCTCATAAAAATATCTCTATCCTACTTAAGAAACAAAAAGAAAAGCACAAACAAAAATTAAAACATTTTTTCTCTTAAGGTCATAATCTTACTTATATAATTTTGGGATCACTGAAGACAACTATCAAATAAAAACCACACCTACAGTTTTTAATAGTATAACAATATTGTAATGTGTTCAAACCTGAAAAATTGGAAAACATAAAATCCCGTGTTTTTAAATTCTGATTGATTACTATCAATAAATATGCTATTACCCATTAAATAAAGTGATAATAAGATCAGTCACAAAAATTTATAACAAAGTATTTTAAAACTTAGAAATAAAATAGAAAGCAGTTACCTTTGTACAATAAAGCATCCAAAGTTCAAACAGCCTCTCCCTGGATGCCATTCTGGCTTTCACTGTGGAACTTTAATTTTTCATCCAAAAAAAAAAAATTATGTTCAAGACCATAGCATGTTCATTTTATTTTCCAAGTTTTTCAGCCGTTTACAGTAAAGCTCAAAGCAGTAGGAAAAACAAAAAGAAGTGAAACAAATAGACTGTCTTCTGGTCAATAAAACTCAGTTTCAGCAGTTACTCCAACTTAACTTCATCAGTGGGAATTGTGCAATTAAATAAATCTGTGGAAAAAACATTCACATATTTGCTAGAAAAAGGTCATACTAAAATTTTCAGATTTTTCAGAACTAGAGATTTATCTACTTCATTTCCCACATACAGCAGGCTAAGCTTTTACACTGATAGATAAGATTTCATAGAAACTTGTATTTCAGGAAAACATTACAGCTAAGACAATATTTCACATCAACATAAAGTCAGAACCGTCTTGGGCAGACTCATCAAGTACACATAACCAAAAATGCGTCCTGTGATAGTAAACACAACACGACGTTCCCACTCATCTATTTTCTATTAACATAAAAGAAAAGGCACACTTCTGACATAAAGAATCCTTTAGAATTTTCTAGTCTGCTTCTTAAACTTGTTGGGAATGTTTGTCGTTGTGTTGTAGGGCAGGGCGTGGGGAGGAGAGTGAGGAATTCCTGGTTTGTTTGTTTTAACAATCCTCAGAGGGTGAAAATTAACCTGCCCACCTGATCTACCTTTCTATCCGGGAAGAAAGGAGCACGCACGCACCGGCAAGGAAAATACCCCGGGAAAGCTTCCAAGTATTTTCGGAGATCTTTAAATTTTCTCTTCGCATCCCAGACAACCGAAACGGAGGTAAACTTAAGGTGTGCCAAGATGCCAACAGAAGCTTTGGAAATGGGGCAATGCGAGCACGGCGTCTCCCGACCCGCTATCCACGTCCGCCCGGCCGCACATGGACACGCCCGGGTCAACCTCGCCCCCTCACAGCCGCCCCTCACTCTACGGCGAGTTCACCACCAAGCACCCGGGGCCCTCCCACTTCTGCCACGCAGACCCCTCTACCCTACAACCAACTCTCCCTCACCGCGCTCACGTTGGGGGGGGGAGTTGCGCCGCCGCCTCAAGCCGACGTCTAACTCGCCTCCCTCGCCCCCTTAACCAACCCGAAGCCCCGTGTCACCCCGCAGCAACCTGGCGGGCGGGCGAGGGAGGCGGGGTGAAAACAGCGCTAGGCGGGGCGCGAGGGCCGGGTGGAGCCATGGGCGGTGCTTCCCCTCAGCTAAACGTTCCGACCTCTGAGGGTTTATCCGGCCCCGGGGCAGTCACTGTTCATTGGTCGCGCAAGCTGGGAAGGGGCGGGGTGAACGGAAGCCCCGCTCCAGCATTCCTGCGCAGTCGCATTCGACTGGGTTCCTGAAAACTCGCCTGCTGGTGCCAGCGAAGGCGCTCTAGTCTTCTCCCAATGTAGGGGGGGTGGGGGGGGGCCGACGTGCTGACGTCCTCGCCCTGGCACTGGGTTAGGCAGACGTAGAGTTCGGCTGATTTCATTTCCGGAAATCATCTGAGGGCGGGGAACCATCCAGTGATAACTAATGGGTATTTTGATTTCTTGCTGCAGATGGGGGTTTGATCCTGGTAGTATGTAGTAATGTGAAAACAGACAACTGCCCCCACACTCCTCAAAAACTCCTTTCCCCTTAATGTGTTTATGCCTCTTACTTTTCCCGTCGCGGAACTTGAAGTCCAAAGGGCTTATTTTACCACTACTAAAAGCTTCAAACCGGTTTTGCTCTTTCAGGAAAAGGAACAAAAGGAAAAGGGCTGGCTACATTTACAAGACATAGACAAGTTTCAGGGTTTGGGGGTTTTTTAAGGGGAAGGGGAGACTCATAACAATCACTTTTGGTACACCTAAGCATTTTAAAAACTTGATTGTGAAAAATGACAAGCATATACAAAATTAAACTACTATAATGAAACCCCACACACCATCACTGATCTTCCAAAATTATCAACTAATGTCCCAGCTTGTTTCATATACATCAGCAGTCAGCAAACTGTAAAGAACAAGAGAGTAAATACTTTAGGTTTTGCAGACAACTTACTTGACAAAAATCAAAATAGGAATATTTCATGATAGTGAAAATTAGGTAAAATTCAAGTTCCAGTGTTGTAAAGCTTGTTGGAACAGAGTCATGCCC